GGCAGCGGCGACTCCCCGGTGCGTCCCGGGTTAGGCGCTGCTCCCCGCGGCCCTGGCGCCCCAGCGGGCGGGCGAGCTCTCCCCGGGTGCAGGTAGGGAATGGGCTCCGCCGCGCAAACTTTGCGAGGACCGCTCGTGCGCCCGAGGGGACAAAGTTTGCTGCTGGCGGGTAGGGTCTCCGGAGGCCGCTGCCTTTGCTGCAAGTTTCGGGAAGCCGGATGGGAGGGACAGGAGGGGGGCTCAGGGTGCGGGACGCGGGGGTCTCCGCGGGCGGTAGCGGCTGGCACGGGATGGCGTGGCCTGCGCTCTTAGACGCCCGAGTGCGTTCCTTCCTTCCTTGGGCAGCGCCCAGCGGGCTGTGGGGGCGCAGCGGAGAGCTGAGGGACAGGGCGCCAGTAAGGAGGGTGTTTGGGGAACGACTGGGAATTGGAACGCATGCCCCAGCGGCTCACCTCACTAGCTTGGGTGGTGGAGCGCGGGCACGCCAGGAAGGAAAGACCCGAGGACCTCGGGGTTTGCCTAGACACTCTAGCTCCCGCCTCGACCGTCTCTGAGCCTACACTCGCTGGGTGTCCGAGTGGACTTAACTCGGGCCTATGCCTCAGGTCCTTCCCTGGTGCCCGGAGCTCCCGCCTTGGCCTTGGGTTGTGATCAACTTCTCTCTGGGCTGGAATGAACTCCTGCCGGCTCCTGGTGTGGCCAAGAGGTAGTCTGAGAATCACTCTGGAGTGCCAGGACTTAGCTGACTGCAAGACTATCGGCCTGTCTTCCCAGAAGCTGTCACCAATTCCTTGGCCAACATCATCCCCAGACAAAACAGGTGGTCCCTGGACTTCTAATTCTTCTTCTGAAGCCCTAGCCAAAGGTGATCAGCTGCCAGTCTGCAGGCATCCCAGGGAAGGGTGTATTTATATCTGAGGGCCCTTTGAGTTCTTGGCACAGTGCTGACAATCTATGCTCATTTGGCTGTTGGTACCCGAGATTCTAAAACTCCCCTCTGATCTTGGAGGGCCGGTGCCTGCACTCAAGCCTTGGCCTTTGAGGAACAGCATTGGGATAATTATTCTTGTGCCTGCAGCCAGGGTGTCCCAGCAGGTATCCTGTTTGGGCAGGAGAGCCTCAACGAGGCAGCAGGTTTGTCAGCAAGATGTCCAGTTTGGGTGCTGGCCAGAGATAGGCTGGGTGGATCCTATAGGTAGGACTGAACAGTGGGGCCTGGGTGAGAACAGGCCAGGTCAGCAGGATACTGCCCAGCAGCCTCTGAATGGGGTGGCAGTGAGTGGAACGTGAGTCTGCATCTTCAGAAAAAGTAGAGTCCAGACTACCAGATTTCTAGGCAGGGGGAAATGGTAACTGGAGAGCAGCAGCACCTGGGGACTGGACACTTGGGTTGGAAGGCGAAGGACAGAATGGGCTGCACTGAGGATTGGAAGAGGCAAGCCCTGAACCCCCTCCCCCAAAGACCCATGGACTCCAGGCACTATAGCCTCCTGCCCCAGCCCAGAGGTGAGTCTGCTCAAAAGATGAACGACAGTCCTTGGGGGAAGCATTTCCCTAGCCCCACAGGGTTTCCCAGAAAGAAAAAATGATGAGCTCAGCCTGGCAGCACTGTGCACAGCCAGCTGAAGCCCCATGCACCGCAGAAGCACAGGCCTGTCCCTCCAACTCCTTCCTCTTTCTTCTGGTCCCACCAGGCCAACAATCCCAGAGACCTGGGCTGCCAGGATGAAATGAAGGACCAGTCTGTTGAAGAATGTCCTTTGGTGAATTCCTGCTCCCAGAACCCAGGTGGCAGGGTCCAGACCTCCTCCCTCACCAAGACCTCATTACCTAGAGAAAGCTAGTTGTTTGTAAACAATAAATAATGAAAAGTAGGCGGATGTTCAGCAAAAGCCTCACCAAAACCGGAAAACTGGAAGAAGCTGGGAGGAGGGTGGTTGGGGGAGGGGAGAAGCTGGAGGAGGAAGAGGGAGAGAGCAGATTCATTTCTACTCCAGAAGCCCCGGTGGCTAGTTTCTTATTATTTACAGGAAGGTGGTATTAGCAATTCAGGTGAGAAAGAAATGAACACGGCCTGCCACGAAATCAATACGGAATTCAAAAACAATTATTAATGTCATTCGACTCGTGTTCTTTATATATATCTCTCCCGGCTACTGACGCTAAACTGTCTGAATAATTTGCATGAAGCGACTATTCATTATTTGCGATGGTTTCCCCTTCGAAAGCAGCTCGGACGTGGCCGGCTGCGGTCCAGCGCGATCGGAGAACTCGTATTTTCGTCTGTAAATTAAAGCAATTACGCAGCAGATATTATATGATGTGTACTGCGGTCTCCAGATAGTCATCCATCACCTTCAACCGAGCTGTCAGAGCCGGCAGATTTCGTTTCTGGGAGGCAGCCTTGCAGCTGGGGAGAGGGCGCGAACGTCATCATTAATTAGAGGGTGACCCTGGGGCGATTCACAGGTCTGAACCCAGGAATCTTTCCGAGCAAGTCTGCACAGCGCCAGTGGTGCGCGGCTGTGCTGATGGCAGAGCGCAGGAGGCCGGCCTCGCAGGGCCGGAGCAGCAGGGCGAGCCCGGGCCCCGGAGAACCATGACACAAAAGGCAGCCAGCGAGGTCCGGGGGCCCTGGTGCCCCGAGCTGCCTCCACACTGGCCTGTGCTTTGAACTCGGGCAAGGTCCCCGGGCCCTGATTAGCCCAGCAAGTCCCGGGGGCGGCCCTAGGCCTCTCCCGGAGCCCTCGTAGCGCCACAGGCGGGAAGCTGTGCAAAGCAGGCCCGAGGGTGCCTGGGCCAGGCGCCCGACACCCCCTTCTTTGCACCCAGTCCAGATGGTCGCCGGGACCGGCCAGCCTCCTGCGGGAACGGCCCCGGGCCTGAGTTGGGAAATCTGCTCTTCCCGGAGAGCTGGGGCGTCTGGCCGTCTCCGTCCTAGCCTAGGGGTGCGGGGTAGGCCTCGGAAGGCGGCTCGCCGAAGAGGGAGGGGGAGGAAGCGGAGGAAGCACAGCCGCGCGGTGGGCTGACCCGGAGTGGAGAAGGGGACGGCCGCCTCCAGGGACCCCAGGCTGCCCCGAAGGGCACCGACGCGGGCGTCGCCGGGGAGGGGAAGCGCCGCAGGTCCCGGCCCGGTGGCTGCTGGAAGCGCGGGACCCTGGGGACACCTGCGGGCGAGCGGCCCTCGGAAGGAGGGTTCTCCGACTCCCGGTCCTGGGAGGCGTGGCTGGGACGCCCCTAAACGGCCGCGCCCGGGCCTTCTGAGTCCCGGGTCTCCGGAGCCGGCGGAGCGCGGCGAGGACGGCGGGCCGCTGCAGCCTGCGCCGGGCTAATTTTAACTGTTGATTACATCTTCACTGAAGACTCGCTCGTGTGTCCCTTCATAGTCTCATTTGTAATTGAGACTAATGATTACAGTGGGGTGTGAAGGAGCAGGTGCTCGTTAATTAATTTCTAATTAAAAGTGCCTTCCGTCCTCGGTGACTAAGGAGCAGCACTGTTCGTCTGGGCGATATTGACTCCCGGGATGGAGTTCATTTGTTAAAACCCAATGGCCCTCTGCCTTGCTGTCCCGGACACCGACTGTCCCCGCCCCGCCCCGCCCGACCCGCAGCCAAGTGACCCGAAGATCTGCGGCCAGGCCGAGCCAAGGCAAGAACTGACGTCAGCGCCTCCGCAGCTTAAAGCTGAGCACGTCCGACTTGCCGGTCCACGAGACTCGCTTTTTTATTTTCTATTTTTCTTTTTTCTTTTTTGCAAAATATGTATTTCTGTCGCCGCGGCGAGGCCGAATGGTCCCAGAGCCCTCTGCAGGGTTCAGACTTCGAAGCTAAAAGAATCGCTGGGACCACTGCCGCCCACTCGCTTACGGGGCTAGAAAAGTTTGCGGCGCCCGAGGGTAAACTGACCTGCTCTCCTTCGCCCTCCCAGCGCCTAGGAACCTGCAGCCCCGGAGCAGTGGCCGCGTCGCGCAGGACCCCAACGGCCCCTCCTGATCTTAGGCTGCTCCCGCCATGTCCTACCCGCAGTTCGGATACCCTTACTCCTCGGCCCCCCAGGTAAAGGGTCCTCTGCAGGGTCTGGGGGTGTGGAGGAAGGTGCGACGGTATTGGGGCACACACACACACACACACACACACACACAGCCACTTCCTAAATGAGCAGATCCCTTGCCCAGCGCCCCTCGGTGCAGATAGGTACCAAACACCCAAGGGCATGGTCGCTGGTAAAATCTAGCGATGGGTCTGAAGCCTTGAGGATTCTGGGGACCCAGGGTAGGCAAACAAGCTAACAGCTGGCCGGGCCCCATGTGGCCAGAGGAGGCAAGGACTGTACAGGCTGAGGGGGAAGAACTTGTCTGGCGGGGACAGTCCGAGACCCCTAGAGACACGTGGGGTCCCTAAGGGCCCAGTGCCCTAGCCTAGTGTCTGGGTGCGCATGGTTCCTTCCATCCTCTCTCCCCAGTTCCTGATGACCACCAACTCCCTGAGCACGTGCTGTGAGTCCGGTGGCCGCACACTGGCGGATTCCGGGCCTGCTGCCTCCGCCCAGGCGCCAGTCTACTGCCCGGTCTATGAGAGCCGGCTGCTGGCCACTGCTCGCCACGAACTCAATTCTGCTGCTGCGCTCGGCGTCTATGGAGGCCCCTACGGAAGTTCGCAAGGTTACGGCAACTACGTGACCTACGGCTCTGAGGCGTCTGCCTTCTATTCTCTGGTAAGGGTCGCACCCCCTCCCACCGAGCCCCGCCCAGACCTTGGGTTTGAGAACCCTACTTCCACCAGGATTTCAAGTCCCCTGAGTACCCGAGCGGTGGAGGATGGGGGATGGGAAGAGAAACCTGACAGGGTTCAGCCAGGGCTGCGGCGACACCCAATCCCGGCTCGGGGTGACTTGCCCTGCCAGCCAGCAGTGTCTAAAGTGTTTTGGTTTGTCTAGATTCTGATCCGAGTCCGGCTCCCCTGCCTGGCTCCTCCATGTGCTCCTCCCAGCTCTGGGCACCCTCTCCCCACTAAACTACACTCCCCTCCTCCCTCCCCCCTTTCTCCAGACCCCCGCCCTAGCTCCTCCCTCCCTGCCTTCCCCTTCTGCTGGAGGCCTCCACTCCGACCTTACTCTTTCTGTGACTGCCTGGCCGCCTCCTTCCAGTTCTCAGCAGCTCACCGCAGCCTCCTCTCTTCTTCCAGGCTCAGTCCTGAACTCCTGCTTTCCCTCTCCTCTTCTCTTCCCTTCCCATTTCGCTTTCACTCTCTGATCTATCTGTGTTTTCCCCCCAAAACACCTCCTTCCTGTCCACACAGATAGTTGGGGGGACTGGCTATTGAGACCAGCAGGAGATGGGCTGGAGTCTGCCAGCTTTGGGGGCTGTTAGGGGCTGTTAGATACCTGTAGGTATCTGAGCTAAGCACACTGGAGGGGGTGGGGCTTAGGGAAGGATTTTTAATGGGGTCCTCAGAGGCTGAGTCCTCAGCTGCCTTGCCTCTTACAGAACAGCTTCGAGTCCAAGGAAGGGACAGGATCCTCACATGGGGGCCTAGCACCTGCTGCAGCTGCAGCCTACTACCCTTATGAACCGGCTCTGGGCCAGTATCCATATGACAGGTGAGGGATCAGACCCCCTCTTTCACTACCACTATTCTGCCAGGCACCAGCCACCCCACTCCTTATAACCTCCATCACCAGGCCCCCCTGGGAGGTGGGAGGATGGAGGATGGAGGGTGGTTCATCCCACCCTGCCATGCTCCTCACACTGTTGAGAGGGACTGTGGAAATCTCAGTACTGTGATTTTTTTTAGCAAGTCACTTCCAGAAAGTTCAGCCCACATGACTGCTTCTTTGCACGGTCTGAGACCCCTCCCTGCACCCTAAAAAGTACAGCACTGGTTGGGTGTCTGAGCCAGGGCCATTGACCCTAGAGTTTGAATCAGGAGAGAAAGCCTTTTGGTCCTCCATGCCCAGGTTGGGGACAGCTCACTGGTCCACCCTCCAACCTGGACCATTACCAGTCCAGCCAAAGCCCTGAACCTCGCTCCTCAGGTCCCCACCCCCAACTTCTGCCTCTGGACACAGGCTCACAGATGCTAGGTTACATTTGTATAGTTTGGGGACCAAAGGTGTAGAAGAGAAGTCCCTTTAAAGGAACTCAAATGTCTGTGCCAGTGACAGAAGCCATGACCTCCCCTCTGACTTGGGAGGGAACCAAGCTCCCAGTCATTTTAATGACATTATCTTCGCCCTCGGCCCATAAAAGGCAAGGCGGTGCCCATAAACACAACCCACCCTAGAAGGTCAGCCTTGTCCCCACGCCCCTGCCCTCTCTCGCTCTGCCGTGATCTCCCCGGCGGGACTGGCGCCCCATTGCAGAGCCTGTCTCCAGGTACGGGACCATGGACAGCGGCACGCGGCGCAAGAATGCCACCAGGGAGACCACCAGCACACTGAAGGCCTGGCTGCAGGAGCACCGCAAGAACCCGTACCCCACCAAGGGCGAGAAGATCATGCTGGCCATCATCACCAAGATGACCCTCACGCAGGTCTCCACCTGGTTCGCCAACGCGCGCCGGCGCCTCAAGAAGGAGAACAAGATGACGTGGCCGCCAAGGAACAAGTGCTCGGACGAGAAACGGCCCTACGGGGAGGGTGAGGAGGAGGAAGCTGGTGAGGAGGAGGCGCAGGAGGAGCCTCTCAAGAATGCCAAGAGCAAAGGTGGGTTGGCGATTCTGGAGGGTTTGGGTGCCTTGCGGGCTGGCAAACAGAAAGCCATGGACTTGGGGCAGCAAATTAGTGAGCTGCTTTTGAGTCAGCTGGTTTTCTCCCCGTGCTTGGGGAGAAAAGATGGAGGTGGTGCCCTGCGAACTTGCTTAAAGAAATCCAAAGTTAAGTTTTAAACACCTCACACCTCGTTCATTTGAGTCCAGATCTGCCCAGCTGGTATTCATAGTTCGAAACTTGGGGCCACCAAAGACTGGAGGGGAGGACAGAGAGAGGCCTGGGCTGTTACCCTAGCTGGAGTGGGGTCCCATTAACTGCTATCTGGGGGTGAAAGAAAGCCTAGGTATGTCACCCTGTCTCCCTCCACTGGCCACGTGGTTTTGCCAACAGATCCTATTGGCAAAGACAAGGAGCTAGAACTCAGTGACCTGGAAGACTTTGACCCTCTGGATGCCGAGACCCCTGAGTGTGAGCTGAAGACACCCTTCCAGCCCCTGGAGAGTGGCCCAGAGCGTGTCCCTGCCTCATCTGATGGGCTTGACCCAGGCAAGGAGGCCTCTGCCACACTACGGATGCCCTTGTCAGCCACTGGTGGAGCTGTACTGGAGGAGGACCTAGAGAGGGCCCGCAGCTGCCTCCAGAGCACAGTGGGAGTACCAGAGTCTGGCCCCGAGGGCGGCCCTCAGGCCTGCGAAGCCAAACTGAGCTTTGCACCTGCAGGGGCACCACCGAGTCTTGAGGTGAAGCCACGCATCTGGTCCCTGGCACACACAGCCACTGCTGCTGCAGCCACCGCCCTGAATCAGACTGAGTTTCCATCCTGCATGCTGAAACGCCAAGGTCCCGCGGGTACATCTGTGGCACAGACCACGTCCACGCCTGCGATCCCGACCCCTTCTGGGGCCCTGGATAGGCACCAGGACTCCCCAGTAACTAGTCTCAGAAACTGGGTGGACGGGGTCTTCCACGACCCCATCCTTAGGCACAGCACTTTGAACCAGGCCTGGGCCACTGCCAAGGGCGCGCTACTGGATCCAGGCCCTCTAGGACGCTCTCTGGGCGCAGGCACCAATGTGCTGACAGCGCCCCTGACACGCTCCTTCCCGCCCACTGTGCCCCAAGATGCCTCTGCCACAGGGGCTGCTCGGGAGCTGCTGGCTATGCCCAAGGCAGGCAGCAAACCCTTCTGCGCCTAAGGCGGGCCTGCGGAACAAAGGGGGGAACTGGCTCTCAGACTGCAGGAACTGACTCCAGACTCTCTTTTTAATGGGTTTCCAAAGGAAAGAGAGGGCGTGGCCAAGCCAAGGCTGCCAACCCACCGGAGACAGAGGATCTGAACTTAAGCTCTGGGGTGATGGAGGAACCCCCACCTGCTATATCTCCAGGACTTGGTCCCAACTGATCTTGGGTCCACCTGAGCCATCCCTGAACTCCGGGAAGGCTGGAGTTCCCCGAAGCATAAAGTTTAAGTCCAAAGTTTACACGGAGAAGGTGTTTGGGTCCCGAGGCTCGTTCAGAGTTGCTGTCTCCACCTGGGTTCGAGACATGCCGGTGTTCCTGATAAAAATCCCTCAGCCTGCTTTTCTCAGACTTCATCCTCAGCACATTAAGCTCACCAACAACACTTCACCGAGTTTACACTATTGCACACTCTTGACTCGACAAAATTATGTTCTCTAAAATGTATGTTCACACCAGTAATTGCCTGTTTCAGAGAGAGGCTAATACAGAAACACTAATAAACCCTCCTAATGGTGTTTGCATTGCAGAGCGAACACGTTTACACCACAGGGCTTCAGAGGTGGCCGGAGGAGGTGGCACTGACCCCCCTGGGGAAGGAAGGATGGATGGGCTTACCCAGACTCTTCCCCAATAAAGTGGTTGTCAATCCAAGTCTAAGTAAACCATTTCTAAGATGTTAAAAGTGTAAGGGGGGGGCTCCTCCAAACCCATAATGAGTGGATGTGAGACCCTAAACTTTAAATTCTTCCCTACTACCAGACACTAAATTTTGAGCAAATAGGGGTTCTTAAAACTGAATTAAAATAACTTTTAAACTTTCTAAATCCCCTGGGACTTTCTGTGGGGAAGCAAAGTGGTCAGCCTCAGGGGCATTATTCTCTGAACCAAGAGGCTTTTGCCAGTCCCTGTGTCCCCAACACTCTGACACTCTTCCCTTCAGAGACCCAGCCAGGGCCCTACTGTTCCTAACTTAGTTTTGACTGTTCCGTGTTTGTTATCAAGGCACCGGAGGGGAAACTTTGGTAACCTAAGTCTGGAGGCAGAACTGAAAAGGTGTGGGACACAGGGACAAGGGGTGGGGTGGACCGTCCTGGCAGCTGAGGGCTGGGGAAGAGAGGGTGGCACTCAGCAGAGCTGCCAAGGGTCTCTTCAAGACCATTTTTAGCAAAGTCACTAGTTGAAGCTGCTTTGGTCTTGATTCTTCTGTGGTCCCTCCCTACTAGGCTGTCTGCATCCCTAAGGGGCACCTGCCCCGCATCCACCCCTGGCTCTTTGCTAATCCACAAGCTTCTGCTGAGGCATTTCTGGACTTCATGAAAGTCCCCAGCGTTCCTAGTACTGTGGAGGCAGCAAGCAGAGGGGCTTGCCAAGCCAGGAAGCCCAGGACAAGCTGCAGGGAGATGAGGGGCCCTGGGACTGGAATAGATTCCAGTAACCACAGAGTCCAGCTGTGTATGGTGGACCACTTCTCAGAGAGTAGCCTTTGATGGACACCAGGTCTTTGAGGGATACCTGGTCTTCTGCAGCTCTGAGACTTGGGTAGGATTGAATTGGAGCCTAGGGCAAGTCAGGCTAATGGGCCTGCAGGGTCTGGCCAGCTACGGGGACAATTCACTGACCCCAAGGAAAGAAACTTAGTCTTGCTGGAGCCAGACTCCTGGGACCCATGGGGTCCACTGAATGATGGGTCTCTCCCTGGATCCTGGTTGCCAGGCCTTGGTCCCTGGACCCTGAGTGGTCAACCACCCCACAAGCCTGAGGCCTGCCCAGGCCAGGGCTCGGTAATTGGATTGTCCTGGCCTGCGCTGTCACCGCATTGACTTTCGCTCTCCTGGATGATATTATCCCGACGCGGAAGCTCGCCGCTGATGTGCCTGTCAAAAGGCTACGACGGGAGCCCCCGGCCTAGCGAGCGAGCATCAGCCAAGATAATTTGAAGTGAAATTTTCATTTTGACAGTAAACCCCTCAATTTCTAAAGGCTCCGCGCTCCGAGAGAGCTCTGGCAGGGGAGGCTTTGCGGAAAGCCCACGTCTTAGACTGAAAAGGGCAAAAGAACTCGAATTAGTTGTAATAGATAAAAGGGCAAAAATAAAGAGTCAAGGGTACTTGACAGAGCGAAAGTGGAGTCTCGGGGGAGACGCGTTGCTGCGCAAGCTGGGGCGTGAGGAATTTTAATGCGGCCGCCAAGTCTCCCCCCATCCCCCCAGACAAAGCCAAGCATTTTCAGCAAAAATTAGGCCTTGCAGATTCCGGCTGCGGGACTTGGGGGGCGGGGTGTGCTAGGTGGGGTAAATAAAGACCAGGGAGCCAGAAATTCAAGCTTGGACCTAGGCCTTGAGTCCTGACTGTGGCCAACCATTGCCAAGACTCCGGAGCCCAGGGAGCACACGCTTTGGTGTATGCACAGGGCCACACACTTGCTTACGCCCCCCGCCCCCATCCCTCCACTGGGCCATCCCAGGACAAGAGGTTCCTCCACTCGCCCAAGCTTATTGGACTCAGAACCTCCCCCCAAGCCTAGTCTCTGGCGCCAGGACCAGTTCTAGCTTCTGAATCCCACGTGGCAGGAGCCCTAGATCTTCCTGACCCTAGCGGACTAAAATGCCTTATTTGAATAAACTGGGCCATCGGTGAATAAGACATCTAGGGGCCTCAGCCACATTCCAGCCAGGTGCCAAAAGGGACACCCGGAGTCGGTTACTTTGAGCCACCTCTTACTCAGGGGCACAGGTTGCAAGACGTACTGCAGGCTCACCAGACCTTGGGGAGCTTGGGGCAGGTGCTGGGGGCCTGAGTCCGCCACGGGGTGGGGCGCCTGCGCGGGGTGAGGACGCGCGGCGGGGAAAGGTCGGGGTCCCGGGCGGGGGCGGCGGGGCTGCGGGGAGCCCCGACTTGCCCTGCGGGAGGCTGTCAAGCCGGCCCGGGGCGCCCGCGCGGCGGCAGCGCTGGGACGCGCTCAGTCGCTCAGGCGTGGCGATCGCAAACGCACCGAGAGGAGAGGCTAAATTAACGGCGCTCTTTACATAGAGCCAAATAAAACTGTAATCAGCGGCGCGTTACTTTTCATTAAGCGAGTCTGACAGCAACGTATTCAGACTCGACAAGGGAACAGGGGCGGGAAATATACGGCTCCCGGCCGGCCCAGTCTAAGATAATTCCTTAAGCTCCATTAACAACTCGTAGCCGCAGGAAACCGGCTCCGGAAACCGTCTCCAAATCTAAAAGCTTTATCGACCCCTCAAACGCCGCTGATGGTTCCATTTTTTTTCTTTTTCTTCTCCCTTTCCTTTCCGTTTTTTTTTTTTTTTTTTTTTTTAACCATAGAGGAGAGACATCCTGCAAGGTAATAGAGTTTGACACGACACCTTAACTAGAGAGGCAGGAAAGTCAGCCCTTAAATGATATTTAAAAGGCAACCAATTAAGATTTAAAGTGGTCATCTCCTGAGATTATGCACAGGATTTATGCCACCTCCTTCTCCCTGGGCACACCTGCCTTGAAGCTGTGGCCAAGGAGACAGCTAGGCGCTCCCCCAACCCCCACCGCAGGCTCAGATCTTACAGCAAGGTTCCTCAGGCCCTCCAGGAGACAGGAAACAGTCTCCCAGGTGAGTTGCACAAACGGCTGATGGAGAGAGCTAAGCTGCCTTTGTTCTTATAGATGTCTAGCTGACACCAAGCAGTGTTCTGTGTGGCCTCAGCACCCTAGGGTGGCCTCTCACAGGCCTCCAGCATGGGGACAGGGATGGTTGCCAGTATCAGAGGAAAAGCTGTCCCCAGACCTCAGCCTTCTGCCTTGATAGCTGAGCAGAGGGGTCCCTGATTCACCCTCCCCTTTTGGGCCCCAAGTGGCTAACTTCTCTTCCTTTTCCAAGTCCCAGGAAGATGTGGCTTCCTAGTAGGTTCAAGAAGCAGCAAGCCCTTCCTCTAGAACCAGTTCACATGCCAGGCCACACTGACTGGGCACTGTTTCTACTGGTCCTGACAAGTAGCAAAGCCTGGAAAGGGCACATGACCCTTTGATTGACCCCAGTCCAAGGCGCTGCTGGAAGGGACCCTGAACAATGGACCCGAAGGAGGGGGAGGGGAAGGAGGAAAGGAGGGGGGGGACAGAGGCCAGTGGAATGAAGGGAGGGAAGATGGGTAGAGGAGAGGCTTTTTCTTTTCACAAGAGGATCCTGAACCTTGGGGTACAGGTCACGAGTTAAACAGTCACCCCAGTGAGGCACAGATGCCTCCAGCTCTCCACTAGCAAGAAAAGGGTCCTCCTGGTCATCCCCAAAGCCATGTTCTGACAGCATCCAAACCTGACCAATTTACAGGCAGCCAAAGTCCCATCTCACCAAGAAGAACTCTGAGGAGTGGCCTCAGAACTCCAGCATGGCTCCTCACAAGACCAAAAGCCAAGCATAGAGAATCTGCCCCTCTGAGCCTTATTGACCAGAAGGAAATCCCCACAGAAGAGAAAAGCCCAGAAGGGAGGACTGGCCAGGGGTTCTGCAGAGCACCTGTCCTGGTTCTTTGGATTCCAGCGCCATGACTGTTCTGGGGCTTCCCCGTGGATCCAACTGTTCTGAAGTAAGGTTAGATAAACAGAGGGGCCATGTGGCCAGATGCTGTCACCTCACAGAGAACTAACACAGGCAGAGCATGGGGCTTGGAAGGGGAGCTGCGTGCTCATCACATCTTCCTTGTGTGCATCACCATATCAAAACTACAGAGGATAAAACAGAGGGAAGCCTGTGTGCAATGCTGTGAGACACTTTGTCCTCTACGGGACCACGTCCTTCCTTAGTGAGCATTGTCCCACCCATGCTCACTAAGATGTTCAGCCACCCTTCTCCAGGACATCGTGTTCTTAAAAGATTCTGGAAGCCTCCTTAGAAAACCTTCACAGTGAACACACCAAGGCCTCCATCACCCTTGCCGCCCCTCTACCTTGTTTACTCCCTC